ATAAAACGACCACAATAGCCAACATTACATCATACTTTCCAAGAAAGTATAGAAAGTATAGAAAATATATGTAGAAGCCATAGAAATACAAAAACACCCTACAATCTAAATAGAGATAATGGCTACAATATAAATAAAATATGGAAGACCATCTTCCCGGCTATTGAAAACCGGCCGAATTCCTCTCCCCCCCTTGACTCACAATTTTCTTCTCCCCCCCTCCTCCCCCCACACAAGCAGCGTAATATAAAAGGAACGACCCGGGGGAACAGCTTAGTATCAGGCTGCTCCTCGCCCTGATAAAGTGAACTGCAAGGTTCACGAAACGTTGGCATTCCAAGAATGGATCTAAACACGGAGAAAACCCGCGAAACGCAAGATTGTCACATAGGTAACACCCGTGAAAGCCTCAAGAATATTATTGGTAAGTCTTATTATCCGACCTTTGGTATACCTACTTTTTTTTTTGGTATAATTTTATTACGCGACGTATACTTGTGGTGATTATCTCTTATGCGTCGTCTATAATTTGCGAAGTAAGCTTGATTTAAGAAATAAGAGTAAAAAATTGACCAATCACAGTCGCGATTGTGAAAAGAATAATCGACTGTGATTGGTTAATTTCTTACTCTTACTTCTTAAATCAAGCTTACTACTGTATTGTAGAGATTCCCGTACGAACGCTGGAAACTTTAATTATTTTTTACTTTGCAGGATATTATTCACATGAATCAAGGACTACTAAAAGCATTAGGCATGTCGCATCCAAACTTGGACATTATTTGCGCAATTGCTCGAAGTTTTTCACTCGCGGGGAAACTTGCGAGTAGAGGTGGAGGTGGATATGCTTTCATTTTGTTAGCGGATAGCACAGATGAAAACATCCAAGATCTTATCACGACATTCGAGGCGCATAATTTCCCTACTAAGATAGTCACTTTGAATTGCAGCGGAATAAGAGTTGAATAACGATTAAATTAACAATTTAATGGGCAAATAAATATGAGCAACGTACTATTAAAATGACTTAATTACAACAAGTATGCAGAGAAACAGATATATGTTGTAGAATTTTATATAATATATTCTTTGTATTAATGGATTATAGGAATATTAAAAACACAAATATGTGAAGATTATATAATAAGATAATAACAAAATATAAACTTTAGCTAATAATATGTGACAATACCAGAACGTTTGATTATAAATTGTTTTGAATTATTTATTGTATATGACATTTATTATAAATTATATGTTATGTTATACTTATATATTACCATATAAATTTTTCTATCTTTTTATTTGCTATTGTCAGGGCTAGGTAATTTACTGGTATTTAAAATGCCAAATATAAGTACTTAAAAAAATGTATTTAAAATGCACACAAAATGTTTTTCGAATCCACTTTATATGTAAAATGGGTAAATAGATATTTTTATTTAAATAGTTTTCAAATACAGAATGGTTTTCCTTACATACATTTTAATATACATTTTTTTAAGTATTTTACATTTAGCATTTTAAATAGAATTACATTTTAAATGGCATTTTAAATACCAGCCCTGGCTATTGTGAATGTATGCGTATGTCTACATATATAAATGACATTTAATTTAACCTGTGTTCTTTAGTAGATAGGCCTAACAATGTCAAAAATTGTGTTTATATATGTACTTCCTGTGTATCAGAGTAGCCTGTTATACTAATGCTACGAAAAAGACATCGTTATTTTTAGCCCGCATTCCTTCAACTATCACTCTAAAAAATATTGCAACATTGCATGTTAAAGATGATAGATCAACCTAACGATTACTAAACTTCTCATTATTAAATTTTTATCGCAATCGTGAATTCATTTAAAGAAGAGCTTTTGCTGCTTAAGTCGTAAGTAATAATGTCATTCTCAAATTTAAATATAAAAATAAATTACGTGTTAATTTTTTCTCATTAAAGTAATCTGATTAACTTCATGATAAAGTTTTTTATAATAATCGGAAATATGTAATCTAGATGCATGCATAGAAAGAAATAAAGAAAATTCATGTGTTTCGTTTATATTGATAAAGATGAAAAATAAAAAATGAAAAAAGTTGAGAAATCAATTCTTGTATCTTATTAGATTTATTGTGCACGATATTAATAAATTAAAGAGTTACTTTTGACGTTTGTATCACGAAAGAGTGATAAATATTATTTATGGACAATATTTTCATTCCGATATATCTAGAGAGTAACACTTTCTACACACACACACACACACACACACACACGCGCGCGCGCGCGCGCACAATCTATTATTTAACGTTACATCAATTTGCCGGATACTCGAAATTTTTTTCTGTGAAAAACATGTACAAGTTTAATGTGTCCGTGCCGGCAGGGTGTTCTTAAGCGGAGATCCCGTAAGATATGACAAAAATTCCATTGCATCCAGTTTAAGCATGCGTACTACGTTGGCATTCACTTCGCTACCTGTATTCGCTGTTCAGACAGATTTTATCAAAATAAATTTTCCAATATCATGTTACGTGTAAAGATACTTCTAGAAACATATCTCGTATATTTTACTGTGGCGAGAATTTCAAATACAAATTTACTGATGTTCAGTTTCCTAAAGAAATAAAAAAGTTTGTCAACTTGTTAAAGGAATACATCGGTATATACGAATGTAGTAATCATGCACATCAGTTAAGTTTACAAGCATTCTTTTTTCTTCTCTTTCTTATAGGTAACGAAATAAACATTACTATGACATCATCGTGAAAATATCGACGGAATTGGCGATCGGAGAGAGGCTGAGTAATTCCACAGCCTTCGCGGCAAGTCTTGTGGCATGCTTTTATCGTTGGTCATTTTTGCAAAAAGGGCTTGTCTTCTACGAATTTAACAGTGAACATCTAGTTGTGAATCTCTGATATGTAATTTTTCAATCATAATCGACTCTGTCGTATCTGTGTATGATTCGATACACATATTCGATTATGAATTAGCAATTATGTTCACTCGTGTACCGAGCATGAAGATCTTGCTGGTTTTCCCGAATATTAGCTAGATAATCATAGCCGAGCAAGTTGAGCAAATGAAGATAATGAAGCAATATCCATTTGTTAAATTTATCCTGAATAGTATCAAGGCTATATTTAAAATGTCTACTGAAATTTTTGGAGACATTGAAAATATACGGAATTTAAATGAGACTGACATCATACTTCGTTCAAATATCCATTTTATTTGAGCTGCTTTAAAAAATTATCGGTAAGCCTCATTCTGAGAACTTTAATATTATATTTTTATTATGATATGACAATAGATACATACATAATAATACAGGATGTCTCAAAAATAAGGTAGGAGCCGCATAAATGGTATAAGACTTTTTTGTTCCCCTTGACCCTTTCTTCGCCCCCATTATAGCTCCTACCCTATTTTTGAGACACCCTGTATATCTCTTGGGCGAGGTTCCACCAATGTAAGATTAAATTTAATCCAGATTCAATTTACTTTTTATCTTTTCCTAATACTAAAACTCCAACAGCACAAACGTTGCAGTAATATTGCTGCAATATTGTAGCAATATTACACATTGCAGCAATGTTGCAGCAATATTACACATTGCAGCAATGTTGCAGCAATATTGCTGCACGTTTTGTGATATCGAGAAAATTTAAAAAGATAAACAGTAATTTAAACCGAGATTAAAGTTAATCTTACTCACTACTGATGGCCTTAGGGATTCTTATATATAATATAATCTGTCGGAAATCTTAGTCATCTCTTGTAACATTTGCAGACTCTCGTCCACGTAAATAAAGGATTACTATGTGCACTGGGCATGTCAAAAGCTAGACATTATTTGCGCAATTGCGTGGGATTTTTCAATTGGAGGGAAGATCACTAATAGCGGTGGAGGTGGATACGCATTCATTCTAGTGTTATCAAATAGCACAGACGAATTCATTCAAGAACTTATCAAGACATTTGAGTCGCATAATTTCCTTGCACAAATAGCCAGTTTGAATTGCAATGAATTGAGCATTGAATAGCATGTTGGAATCAATAACTTACTTGTAATATCAGTAGTTAAATATAAACAAAAATAACTCATGCTAAGGATGCACGTTGTTAAGAAAAATAGAATTTTATATAATATAATAATTCTGTACGCGCGCGTTAACGGATTAAATATATAAATTGTAGTGTAAAGGCTTCGGACGCACGTACGAAATACAAGAGATCCAATTTCGACTCTCAGCCGAGGTAATATTTTTCGCAATAAATTTATTTATAGTTTTTCAGTACATTAACATCTTTCTAATAAGATGCCAGATTAAGCATCAAATTATTAAATTGCTTATTAATTAAATTTGTGATATTACTATAGTAGTTTAATTGCGTTTATAAGTTCGAAAAATCATTTCGGCGCACAGTTGAAATAAACATATTTAATATATAAATTCATCAATACATAGAAATTATTTAAAAGCATTGAAGATCCAGCTTCGACCGGTATAGGCTTCTAGTTTATCAAATGTGTTCTCATATGTACGATCTAAAATAAGATTCTTATTGTATATAAATTGTATTTACATTTGTATATGTTCTGATTGTTTGTGTGATTTGAGTTTATTAAACTAAATTGTCCTTACAAAGGAGAAATCGTTTCTTCTTATAAACATTATAAACGATCTGAAAATATATTGTCCTTAGTTCTACATATACTAAAGAAGACGACAGATCAATCTGAAAATTGGTAAATTTCTAATTGCTAAATTTTAGTCGTTATCTTCGATTTATATCAAGACAAAGCTCTTACTGTTATGTTAAAAATAATATTCTCATAATATATATAAATACACTATAACGTTTCCAATTTCAATAACGAAGAATATGTAATCCAGGATTGTACATAAAAGAAGTGAAGATAAATGGCATTGTGTCTTGTTGACACCATTAGATCAAAAGGGTAAGCCGAGAAACTGATCTGATTGTGAGTTGAACTTTATTAGATCTTTTTAACGCATGGATCGCAGAGAATCGATAACGAATTGGTAATCAATTACAATTGTCACAGTCCGCGATTCATTAATTGATGTACAACAAGAGTAATATGTATTAAGTTATATTTGTAGACGATATTCTTGTTTTGATAAATAGAATTCATATTTACAGGATACACGGATTTTGTATCTGACATTTTACGATTCATCAATCGTCACTGCGCCTGTTCTTCGGATAATAAATAAATTTTTCGTCGTGAAGGTCATGTAGACGTTCAACATGTCTGCACCGGGCACATTGCTTTTATGCGGAGAACGTAATAAAACTTGTGTAGCAGCCGGCTTAGACATGCGTACCGTACTTACATACTCTTCGTTTTCTAAAAGTAGTTCGAAGAGATTTTATCGAAATAAATTTCTCCAGTATCTAATTACACATGAAGATACCTTTACGCATATTTCTCTTACATTTTTATAATAAAAATTACGATTACACAGATAAATGTTATATGTTGCTTAGGACAGTAAAAAACTTTATTACCTTCTTGACGGGCTTTCCCGGAAATTACGAATCCAGCAACCACGCACATCAATTAAGCTTACAAGCTTTCTTTTTTCTTTTCATTTCTATTAGCTACAAAAAAGGCATTATAAAATCATCTTGCAGCTACAAAAAAGGCGTTATAAAATCATCTTTCATTGTGAAACTATCAACGGAATTGCCGATCGGTGAAGGTCTGGGCAGTTCGACATCGTTTGTGGTATGTCTCGCGGCGTTGGTCTCTCCTGCAGAAAGGAAAAGTCCGCTACAGATTTAACTGTAATGATCTCAAACATATCTCGAAATATGCGATAATTTGTGAAAATATTGTATACAATTCCTCAACTAAAATCGACTTCGTAATATTCCACGTATAGCAAGATAAAGGTATTCAAAGGGGATACACTGAAGTCAAATGATTTTTCTGA